TTATCTTCCACAGCAAGTGGACGAAACTGGGCTGTTGTGGAAAAAGATGCCCAAAAGAACATTCATCACCAGAGATGAAGCCTCTTTACCTGGCCATAAACCCATGAAAGACCGTCTCCTTGGTGCAATGCTTCAGGGGATTTCTGACTAAAGCCTATGCTTGTCTACCACTCTGAGAACCCCAGGGTGTTCAAGCAACAGAACAAAGCTTGGAGTTTATTGGAAGTCCAACCATAAGGCATGGGTGACAAGACAGTTCTTTAATGAATGGGCTGTTGATGTGTTTTGCCCCCTCTGTCAAGAGCTACCTAACCACCAATAAACTTCCTTTAAAGGCTCTTCTCATGGATAATGCTCCTGGTCATGACCCTGACCTTGCCAGCAATTTGGAGTATCAATTTGACTTTGTGAAAGTGTTGTTTTTGCCTTCAAACACTAATTTATACACCAATGAGGAAAAGGCAGAAATATTAGAAAAGATACAAGCAGTTGCCAAAGATGAGGTGAGTACTGCAGATCTTTATAATTTTGAACATTTGATATTTAACTTAGTGTACCGTAGTAATGCTTAAGATCATTCATATACTGTACATTTTTTTATGTTTTACAGTAACAGTTGGTTAATAATAATATGAGAAATAAGAAGAAAAAATAATTTATGCCTTACATTGACTATCTCTTACAAGGGTTGTTGTTACCATTAGCCGAGAGCAAACTGCAACTGCTTAATTAGGATTTTGTTGATAAAATAATCATTAAACAGTTATGAGGTGATGGTTTTTTGGTTCACTTAGTTATAATATTTACTTTATAATGTACTATATATTTCTAATTTTTAGTATATTTATGCATAATTTGTTAATATACAATTACTGTATTCTTTTCATGTAAAACATTTACTCATCAAAGTATTACAAGATCTTCATCCTTTAATAAAAACCAATCTCGCATGATATTAAACCCTTAATAATAAGTAACTTTAATTTACCTGTACTTTAGTAATACTATACCTGACCATTCCATTCATAATATATATAAATTTTAGTCATCCCTTATCTTTCTTACGACTTGAGCTCTAATAATGTCAAATATTTTTACTGCTGAACTTGGCTTGCTTTTTTTTTTTTTACCCAAATTCCGTAAGGGTGAAGTTTTTTAGCCATATCCCGAATTTTTGGTCATACAGTAATTACCAAATTCCGTAAGCGCGAATTTCCATAACGTGAGTTTCTATAAGGCAGGGGATGCCTGTCCTGTACTTACTTACTTTGCCAACAAATATTAGGATAAATTGGATCTCCTGAAAATTCACCTGCCCCAGGCTTATTTCACCTAAAGATTATCAGTAATAACCCCATCAGAAGGGGGGGGGGAGGGTTAGGTTAGGTTAGGTTTGCATTAGGGTGGTCGGTTAGGTTTGGTTAGTGTTTGGTTTGTCGTGTATTGTATTAGAATGGTTAATCTTCAAGTAGAACAAGTTGGAGGAGGCAATCTTCAGGTGATCTGTTAAATCTGTGCATAACTGTATTTAGCAAATCAATGAACCCTTTTCCTGAGTGACATCGACTGACTGACTGAGAGAACTTTTTGCTCCAACTTAGCCCTTCCCCAGCACCCTTCCTCCACCCAGAGGTAGGATGTACAGTGTCCAGTAGACCTAAATAGCTGATAATAAATTTTTGGCTATCCAATTGTTAACTTAAACTTTGGAAATAGTGGAGACAATTTTTGCATGGAATCATTTGGAATTAATAGACTTTATTTTTTATAGTAATACTATGGAAGTAAATATTCTTAGTTTGTGTAGGTACTTTTATAGTCAACTTGATTTTTGTATGATATTATTTCAGGAGTAATGTGCATTCTTTCTTCTTTTTTTTTACAAAAACTGATTATCAAATAAATACACTGTAGTGGTTGTAGCAAAGAAATCATTTTGTGAGATGGTATGTAATAAAGCCTGCCTGACACCTGAGATATATGACCTAAGACCTGGTAGTGAGGACAAAAGAGAACTATAGTGTTTTGGTCCTGTGTTAGTCATGGCCAATTCACAGCACCTTCAGGAGTCATATCAGGGGTTCAGACTGACACAATACTGATTTTAGAACCTTTTGTGTTGAAGTGTGAATAAGGAAGGTGTTCATGACGTTACAATTGGTCTTAAAATTAGTGACATGCTAACTGAATTTACTTTAAATACGTAGGTGGTGAGGAGATATATATTTCCCCGGTCCACCCAAAAAATTTTACACGTTTAAGTTAAGGGATTCAGAATTAGCATGAAATTGATTTTTAGATGCATAAACTCACTATAAATGTCTTCTTTACTTACTCAAAATAATTTGGAACCCTTGATAATGACTTTCAGGAAACACGACTAACAAGTCCATGTTGTTTTCCAGGGGCTTGACGTGGTAAGAATGTGAATTTCATGCATGTTGTAAATTGTCTGGAGAAAGCCAAACCATTACTGTTGTTGACCAACACAAAAGAGTTGGCAATAAACCCTTCAATACAGGGAGTAGTAAGGTCCTGGGTGTGCCTTACTGTGAGAAGTGTTGCGAGCATGTTGTGGTGACCTGGTGTTGATCTGCCACAGGTCTTGCCATTGTCTCAGTAACATCCCTCTTACGGGCTAAAACTGATGAAATAATTCCAACAAACAATTAATAGCCAACTTATCCAGATGAAGACATTTGTGTGTTGCAGCATGGCAGCAATACACCTTTCTTACCAAAATTACTAAAATGCCATAGTAGTGGGATAAAGGTGCACAACAGTGCTGCACCACCACAGTAAATGTCGGTGCAAGTAATGGCAGACTTGCATCAGCAGTGCTCGTGAGGGTCACCTCAGCTGCATCAGACAGCAAAGTGAACGCTCCTCACACACCACACAGGTGATACATGTCCATACTCATGCCCAAGACAAGAGTCCTGGAATTTATCACCCTGTCAGCACCATATTGTTCAATTTCAAAATTTTTTGGTGTTATCTTAGGCACATATGAAGGTTTATTATCTGCCCACATTACTTACACTTTTCAGCTTTACAGCAGTGTCGCTGTGTACTAGGCGCCACCCTGGACCATCAGACTGTTGACCCAGTAGTTTAGTTCGGACTTATTCGTTAATGGTCACTCAATATTTTTACACTTGATATGCTGTAGTCTCACATTCAAGTATCAAGAACAATAGTGAGTATAAGTCATGGAAAGAAGCACAAAAGCCTTAATTTGTTGTTAACTTGTATCAATGGTGAAACTATGAAATATGACCCATTAATAGGAAGTTGCCACAATATAACCAACCTCTTACTTGAAGGTTAAGGCGAGGATGAATAATTTTCCTGATTATTTGATCATAGTTGTAGATTGTTCAGTGTCTTAATGTTTAAGAACTTGTTCAATAATGGCTTATGCATAGTTGTAGGTTATCATGGCAGAGAGCAGCCAGTACCCCCACGAGGGCTGGGGGCCTCCCTTGCCACACATGCTCATCTAGACAACAGCACCTCATTATTCACTGAAGCTTCAAAGTTTATTTTTTCTGTAAACAACTTATTTTCAGTCTTCGATCATACCATCCAATGTTTATAGTTTATAGAACAATCATGTTAACATTTACTACAATATGTTGACAATACTGGGTCAGAATTCATGTTAACATTTACTACAATATGTTGACAATACTGGGTCAGAATTCATGTTAACATTTACTACAATATGTTGACAATACTGGGTCAGAATTCATGTTAACATTTACTACAATATGTTGACAATACTGGGTCAGAATTCATGTTAACATTTACTACAATATGTTGACAATACTGGGTCAGAATTCATGTTAACATTTACTACAATATGTTGACAATACTGGGTCAGAATTCATGTTAACATTTACTACAATATGTTGACAATACTGGGTCAGAATTCATGTTAACATTTACTACAATATGTTGACAATACTGGGTCAGAATTCATGTTAACATTTACTACAATATGTTGACAATACTGGGTCAGAATTCATGTTAACTTTGTGACCTCAAATAATTGGTGATAAAATAAAGTACCAGTGTAGGTAGACACTCAGTATAATTTGGAACCCATTTTGAACATTATTTGTATGCTCTTTCTTATGTCTGCTTATTTGAAACCTTGCTTTATCTCCATTTATGAGAAACAATTTAATGTACAAAGCCTAAAGCTTTGAGAATCCTTGCCCTGGCTGGGTTTGGAAGATCAAGATTCTGTTATTATGGCTCCTTCACTAATGGAGTCAGGGAACATGTGCGCGTCAACTTGAGTGCTAGAGCCTTATCACTAAACTCGTGAAGTAAGATCACAAATATACGTAGAGGTGGAATTGATACCATGGTGGGCTGCTCATAATAGTAATTTAGTTGTGTTATTACTTGTTTCCTGTAATGCACTTGTTGACCATATACTGTACATGTTGCTGTGTTGTAGTATATTTAGGATATGTATACTTTTTGAAAAAGTGTTATGCACTATTTACTCATTCATGTAGATAAATCACTTTACTGTTCTTGAGCGCTACGTATACATAACTTAGAAATTCAGATATAGTTTATAGATGTACGGTACTGTACAGTATTTTCACTATATTTATCTTGTTTATTAGAGTTAGGTCCAGCTAAACATTGAAAATTTTGGGACCACAGGAAGATTAAGCATCTCAGCTTATTTCATCTGATGTTTAAGCACTAACACTAACTTAACCTAACCTACTGTAGTAAAATATGCTGGGAAAACTAATCTTCAGTTATCTTCAATTGATACAAAATTTTTATATCCCAACAAGAAAGAGTATCCTACTTTCATCTGATAATTGTTTCATTGGGTCATCTTATATTTATAATGTGGACCACACTCCTCAACCAATATAATACATATTGTAACCTCAGATTAATATCCCAATAAGGGTAAGAAGATGGACTCCTCACCTATGACACTGTTTGGCTACTTCAACGAGTGAGTGAGGGCCAACCTGCACTTGGTAGTGGCCATGTCCCCCATAGGCGACACCTTCAGGACCAGGCTCAGGATGTTCCCCTCCCTCATTAACTGCTGCACTATAGACTGGTAGGTCCTGGTGGGTCTACTGCTTCATGTGTTAGAAGATGTCCTCTCACTAGTGTGTTGCCAGGTGTCCCTCACTTGTGTATTGTCAGGTGTCCCTGGTAGCGTAGTGTGTAATGTTGTGGTAGTGTAGTGTATAATATTGTTGTGGTACAATAATGGTTTCTTCTTATAGGATTTTAGAAAGTTAATAAAAATTTTTTTACAGGTTTTTACTTTCAGTGCTATGTGAGAGCTCATTGATATTATCTATAGTGCTAATCCTTTTTATGCAGGGCTTTATAATAATAGTAATACAGTAACAATAAGATTAGTAAGAATTATAATGATAATGTACAGTAATACTGTCATAATAATGCTAATAATAATAATGATAATAATTTCATTAATAACAATACTGTAATAATAATTGGCAATGTGTTTCCAAAGAAAATTTTGCCTTCTTAAAGGGAAAATTTTTACCCCCCAAAATATAATACAGTACTACTATATGTATCAAGTAAATATGCACTAAAATAGTATAATAAATACCTGCTTCTCAAATAAAATCATAAATAGAAATAATACTTTAGTACAGTTACCAGCAAGAAACATAATGCTTGTCATGTAATTTCACATCAGATTAATTGCCTTCCTGTTTCTCTTAATGCCACTGCTGCCTCTAGCACTTAATGTCCTCTGGCCAAGCTTAGGAAAACAATGGAAACACATATACAAAAAACATACACAAAAAACACAAACAAATGCCAGGTTGCAGAATGAAATGTACAGTCCTCCAAAAAAAAGGTATTGTTAACCATGGGGTCGATGTGTTTCGAGGACACGTCGCTACCTGGCATTTAATTGCAATTCTCAAAACCCCCTCCCACACCCTCCATCACACGCATTGCTACCGTCATCGTCTTGCCTGGCGAATCGGGTGTAAATACGCACAATGAAAGCACCGCTAAAATTTTTGTTGTAATAGCTGAAATACTAAGTGCCACGAGGATTTTATATAGGGTATTTATACATCTTAGCACGGTGAGGAAATCGGGTGACTTTTATTTTGTTTCTCTCTCAGATATTGTGTTTGGGACAATTTTTTATACGTTCTGGTCAGTATGGCAACCACAGCTCGTTTTCTATTAGGAAGACAGTAGATCGTTAGTGACTAATATCCTCTGTTTTTGAGTTCCATAACTTCAAAACTCTGTAGAATGCAGTTCTGTTAAATGGCAAATGCCAGTATAATTCTGTAGAGTCACAAGATTATGACCTTTTCTTGTTCAGGTTTACTGCATGGCCTGATGATGCCTTGGAGATGGTGGCCACATCACTGCTGCAGGAAACTAAACTGGAGGCATCATTGTTGGCTCACTGTGTCACTGTCTGCAAGTATTTCCACCACAGCATTGATGACCTTGCCCACAGGTAGTTTCAAGGACATCCAAACCTTGCTTATGTTATCATTTTCAGTTTAACTACCAAGGGTCAAAGACTGCTTCGTGTGGATTTCATTTTAGCATTTATCCAGTTGTTTCTCAAGTAGGCAAACCTGAGCAATCTATAGACTGATGTCTGTCTTTTTATACTAGAAATTTGTTTTTAATTATGTAAATACAGTTTACCACAGTCAGAAAACTCTCTTCAATAAAACATCCATGTTTGATTGTTTGTGTTTTAACTTCTGACTGGCCAATGATGATCATGTAGAAAATAATAGTACTGCACAGGCATAGGACCACTTATCTGGCATGCTTGGGAGCTGGGAATGGAGGTGCTGGGCTTGGGCAAGTGTGATCGACGTGACCTCTGCATCTTGAGACGCGATTGGTACTAAGGCATTGTAGGTGGTAGCATGTGAAGTTCGCATGTCACCACATGAGACAGGAGAGTTTATCCCATTATTCTGAGTTAGTTTAGTGCATTTTATATTCAAATAGGCCCACTAAATGTCAAAATTTCATATGAGGTGACCTGAAGCTCTATAGATGCACACCATATGACTTGACTTGAAGCCCAGGGGTTCAAGACATTAATTAACCCATGAGAACCTGGTGGGCTTCCAAGACCTCATTAAAACCATAAGACATACTGTACATGAGACGTTGGTAGCCCTCCAATACCTTAATTAACCAGACATACATGAGACCTTGATGAGTGCTCCTACAGGTTCTATGAGCAGCTGCGGCGGAGGTACTATGTGACATTGTGACACCCACCTCCTACCTGGAGCTCGTGTTCACCTTCAAGCAGCTCCTCCTTAAGAAGCGCTCAGAGATCCTCACACTACGGGACAGGTAAAGCTCAGGAAGCTCATCACCAGCTTTAGTAATGTTATACTGTACATCTATTGATGAATTTTAGTCTATGAGAATTACCCGACCCAACTTCGATTTTGTTTTTATTTTACTTGTGAAAATCAATAATATTGTGCCCAAGTTATTTTAAATGTATGAATATGCATTCTTAGTGCCAAAAACATTAACCATTTCATCTCTGAAGGTATGTGACAGGTCTGGAGAAACTGAAAGAGGCCAAGCTGTTGATCACTGAACTGCAAGAAGAGCTAAAGCTGCTGCAGCCCCGCCTAGTGGAGACCTCTGCCAACACGGAGGCACTTATGATCAAGATC